GGTATAGCAGAGTTTTGGGAAGGGGTAAATCCAAGGGCCATGAGTACCGTAGCTGGCAAATTGTTGGTCAAGTCATCACTCATAAACTAACTTTGCCATATAAAAAAATGATTTGGGAATCCCAATCAAAAATACAATAGGGACAATGGCAATGACACCAAACCCAGCAAGCACACTGATGTCATTCCAGAAAACGTGACAATATCATTAAGAATGCTGCAATAAGGTCATTAACTTGTGCAGTGCAATGATATCAGCAATATTGTGCCTAGGTGACCAGTTCCTACACTGCTGAATATTAGTCTGAGTTCCTGCTATCGAATTTAAAGTGTAAGGAGTTGAAGGCGTAGTGAAGTTGGGAAATGTGAGACTCCAGAGACCATGAGTGCTGGCAAATTGTTGGTCAGGTCATCTCTCATAAACAGTCAAAAAAAAAAAAAAAAATGAATGAATTTACATAATACTTCAGATTTTTCATTTGTCAAGGGTTTTTCAACCCAATTTTCTTGATATTTTTTCTTAGACCTCTGTTGTAATTTTTGTCCCTGTATTCTTCTATCACTGCAGCAACGGTTTCTACTCCCCTGCCCCCTCCCTCTCGCTTTTCTTTATTCCTCTTATATCTTTAATTTCATCTATACACCTTGCACTCTATGATTACATGCTACAGGAATTGAATTAGAAGCATGTTCATCTGTTGTGTGAGTGCAGAGCGCCAGTCCCCAGCACTCGAGAGGTTACGTCCTCTCTTGTATCTTATTCTCAGGCTGGCTGGAGATTATCTCTACATCGAGGCATTACTGACATCTGTGGCAATTACTCTGCCCCCTTCCCTGCCAGCTCACCCCCAGAGCGGGCATCACACAAAAGGCAATCAGCCTCATTCACAGACAAGATTAACCCACCGTGTGCCTTGGGTTTCATTTAAGCCTTTGCGGCTAATGGGAAACTCAAAGCAAGTAATGGGTTAATGCACAAGCGTTGAGTGAATGACTACTTTCTCCATCCTGCCAAAGCTATATTTGCAGCTATAAAGGACTTACGCCTTCCCCCTGCAATGTTACATCCCCCATAGGGTTGTTCATTAAAGTTTCATTATCACATCACTCATTAACCTCTGTTAACGAGGCCCGTAAATGGCCATTCCAAATTAACTTAAGAGCTTGCAATCAATTAAGCGCAGTGATTATGAAGGAGAGATCATCCTGCCCTGGCTGAACGAGGACGTTTGCAGAGTCGCATCGCATTACCAATTCAGTGGCTGCTGCACAGGGCTTGCTAATAAATTGGGTACGTTTCAGCCTAATTGAAAAAAGCTTAAAAACATTATAGAATATTAATATTTTAATAAATACATTCAGGGCTACAGACTGAAGAAGAATTAAAAAATAGTTTATTCAAGCAACTGAAGCTTTACTTTGATCCTTATTTCCTGGTAGGACGCTCATGACCACTCTGTGGCACCATGCCTTTAGTTGGCATATAAAACGACACAATGTCGTGCAGGGGCATAGATTCAAAACACAAAATTGGAATTTTCGGCCCTGTGTGACATTTCAGCAGGATCTCATATTGGGTCATTTGGTTTTGAACACCAACCCTCGGATGTAATAAAAATTTGCAAGGCTTTTATGTAGTCTTATGGGGTTGATTTTGCTTTGAAACTAGTAACTCCGCAAAAAATATCATTTTCTCCTAATATTTACACCTACACACACTCAGACACACACCAGGGGAAGCAAAGTGACATATCCAGGAAGAGCTAGATCATCCACAAAGCAGCTCAAGCTGGAGCCTAAGGCCCAGTGGATGACAAGAGGGCCTAGCTATAAAATTTATGGTCTCTCACTCCTCATTGACTAACACAGGAGCAAATGTGAGTGGGGGGCAGGGCTGAGCCATCTAACTGGCACTGTTCCACCAACAATTTTTCAACCGGCTCCTTTGAAAAAAGTCAAATAAACAATTTACACTTGTTGAGCTGGCTAATGACCAAAATGAGTGACCAAAAGCTAGAAAGTCGAGATGTGTATGTCAGTCCTTACTTATCTTCCTCCCATAAAACACAAATCTGAGCCTGTCCAGCACAAGTTACACCTTTAAATAAATTTCTGTCAAGTGTCAGAAGCTTGAGTCCAGCTCCAGAACACGGCTCCAGCATTTTCACTTTCAATGCTGCCAGCACACAGTCTCTCTCTTTATTTGGTTACTCTCACTCTGCAGGGTTCCTTCGCAAGCACCAAGTTCTTCCTATGTAGGCAGATGTTTTCTATATAAAGGATTGCCAACAGCAGTACCAGCAGGCCAACTTTTCAATAGCTCACAGTACCACCTCGTAGCCGTGGCAGCTTTACCAGTGTTCCTCTCAAAGTTCCCTATCTTTTTCCTGTCACTGGTTACATTTTACAGCCACAAGTGAAGCACTATGGCTTCTATCAATATTTATTACAAATGCACTAAGCAACACAGATGGCTATGGGATGTAGCATGCGGCCCCAGGCTTCCGTATTATGAAACATATTGCAGGCTTTAGCAACCATTTTGTATGTATCAAGACATGTTGCTAAGCTGGATCACACTTCGGCCTCTGCATCAAAAAAACAAATTTGGAATCTCAAATTGAATTAACTTAAGCCTTTTTCAATGGTTCCCGCAGTTGTCTGACATGAGAATTAACCGATAGGAAGATTTGTTCAGCTGAGCGAAAATCTCCACTTGAATGAGTCCTAACAGATCGTACTCTTACATATCCAGCAGCTCCCATCTCCTCAGGAGGCAAGTACATAAAGATTAGGTGGGCAGTATGCAGCATGTGGGGATCAGATTCTAGGTGCTACCATGTCTAAGAATTGGTTTGGGGTATCTACTGGAAGATGGACCTGGGAACAGCTGGAATTTTCTCAGCGAACCCTGAAGGATGGATTAAGCCCGTGGTGAGGCTCTACGCAAGCTACAGAGATTAGCTAGTCGACAGGATGTGACGGGTTCTACATGCTGTGAATTTATTGTATTAAGTTTATTGTAGTATATGTAAATCCAATCACCAAAATCTCATATAATGGTTAACATGCTAATGCAGTTTCATTTTAATTCTGATTTGTCCCTCTCTTCCATTTGTGCTCTTGCATAGTCATCTTGTCACACAGGCTTCCATAGGAGACTACAAGTGGCCAAAGCAACTTACAACATACATTATACAGGTGTGATCCATTGTTGTCACCATCAAGAAACCCACCCTAAGAAATGTCATGGGCACTTTCTGTTATAGGGAGACAATGTTCTGTCCCTCTCTTCCAATTGTATTCTGTTGTAGTCACCCTGTCACATGGGCTTTGACTGTGCAAAAAGTGGGTTAGGGCTTAAGGAACCCACCAGGTAGGTAGATCAAGGAGACGACAATGCAGTATATAAAAAGCAAAGTTTATTTCATATCTAATTTAATTAATACAAAAATGACTAGAAAAAAATACCTGTAGCGCTACCCTCTTAAAAGCTGATTTTCCTGCACAGCCAAGCAACAAGCATTTTTCACTCTCACATCCAAAGTCAGTAAACAGTCCATGAGCTTGGTTTTGTTGTTTTCTTAGGGATCTAGGGGTATATGGAATCCCCAGTCGAACTGAAACACTTTGGAGGGTACACTTCCTATGTACAAAAAGCAAAAAAATTGATCCTTGACTTTCTACTACTCCGTGTAGAACGGCTCTTGTCTCTTATTGGATCAGCACACAGTCCTTACTAAGAGCACTCCCCTTAAATGAACCTTCTTCAGACCCCAGATGAAAATCTCCTCATCCACCTGGCTGTCATGAAGAGTATCCCAGGGCAAGGGATTCCGAGACACATAAGAATGCTGTCCCAGGGAGAACTAGTTGGGTATGGCACCTTACTACCCTCTCCCTTGTAGGCCCAGGGGGAGTAGAGGTACTCACACTGTCCCGTTCCTGTAGCTTTAAAGGGTGAAGCTGCTTTCAGTCCTTACACTAGGCTGGCTTCTTCCCCTGCTGACAGCCTCTCCTTTTCTGTAGACTGTGGAACAGTTGAGATCCCCCTTTCAAGCTCCCAGCCTGTAGGTAGACTCCCCTTCTCTGGGGCTCCCTCAAGCTCCACACCAGCAGCACTTCCTCACTCCATCTTCCACCTGACTCCCCTGCAGCCAGGCTCTCTCATATATATGGGTGGATCTCCCACACTGCCAGGCCTCCTGCCTGGGATTGGTCAGATTCCATAAATATGCAGATCAGCCCATCCTCACATCCGCCCACAGGCTTCTAGAAACTTCTCCAAGTCTCTAGGAGGTACCAGAAGACTGACCTCTACAGCCCTCCAGCCCAAACCTGAAGTAACCTTTCTGACTCACACCCAAGCTTCTAGCAAGCCTCTAACTATACAAAAAAAACTAACTGTACTAGAGGGAGCTACATATCTCCACTTTTCACCAATTAAATTAAAACAACATTGTCATAAAAATCTAAATATCCTGACCCCAAGTCTAACACACAGACAGCCGTCACAGATGTCACACGTCAACTTGTTTCACCCACCCTGTATTGCGTGCTTCATCAGAAGGGAATCCCCTAAGAATTGTTTTTGTTAACCCCATTCTAGGGGTAATTTATTACTCCTTAGAAAGTAAGCTCCGCTTGGAGCACACTGAGATGTTCTACCACTGGTTGAAATGGCCCATTATCTCTCTATGAATATTGCCATATGATGAGTGTCAACTGTCCGCACGTGTGGCTGGGACATTTTGATTTTTATGACAACATTGTCATATTTTAATTGGTGAACAGTGGAGGAATATTTTTTTCTAGTAATTTTTGTATTATTATTAGATATCCAATATACTTTGCTATTGGGATATACTGCATTGTCCTCTTCTTGAACTACTTACTGGGTGGGCTCCTAACTTTCTTTTTGAACAGTATCAATTTAGTTTTAAGGACGACACTATTAGTAATTTTGTGGTGAGTCGTGACCCAAAAGGAAGTTTGAGGTACAATGTGAATATACGTCTATTTTTGTGGTTCTTTATTTTATTTTTTTTTTTTTTAGTTGCTTTCGAGGGAGACTACAAGTGGCCATTGTACTATTCGTTACACAGGCATAGCCCACTATTGTCATCATCAAGATACTGGGAAATAACTAGCCAAGTTCAGACACTTTCTGTTATAGGGAGATAATGCTCTATCCCTCTCTTTCAATTGTACTCCTACATAGTCACCCTGTCACATGGACTCCTGAAAGAGACTACAAGTGGCCATTGCACTATATGTTACATGGATGTGGTTCACTGTTGTCACCATTAAGAAACCCACCCTAAGAAATGTCATGCCATGTTCAGGCTCTTTCTATTATGGGTAGACAATGCTCTGTCCCTCTCTTGAAGTTCTGCTCATACGTTGTCACCCTGTCACATAGGCTTCCAATAAAGACTACAAGTGTCAATAGTAACATACATTACACAGTGCGGTCCACTGTTATCACCATCAAGACAACCACCCTGGGAGATGCCATGTTTCCATTGCTGCAGTGCATGTTGACAGGTAGTGGCAGCAAATAGGTTGTAACAAATCAACAGCACTTAAGGATTTTGTTTTCTTAAAAAATGGCAATCGTTTATGATACCGAGTGCTTTCAACAAGCTAAATGCCATTCAGTTAGGCTGTAGTGAGGCATCCGATAAATCCGATCCAATAAAATAGCAGCTGGATTTTATAAGAGGCACCTTTAGCTGGTTGCACACATATGCAGTTTATGACAATTTTATTTCAGAGTCATGAAGGTGCTGTATTATGGAAACAACTTCAGCGAAGAAGTTGGCTCTTTGTTTTTGCACATGCCGTGCCTCACTGATAATTAGTGATACAGCTTATGACATTTAGCTGCTGGAAGCGAGAAGCAGAAGGAGGGAGGACACTAATAAAGGCCTGACTTCTAATGGAGGTCACTATTTACCTAGAAGAGTCCAACTGCCACTTTTTATCAGGGAACTTAAAGCAGATACACTTTAAAGGAACTTACTACAGGTAGAAGATAAAGCCTGACTCTAGACACAAATTTTTGTTCTGTTTTGGGTAAACCAGAGAAGGGTTAGGCCCACATTGATGAAAGAGCAGTCCTAGCAGTGTCTATATGACAGACTATAAGGGTGTTTATTTACTGGAGAATTAATACTGCTTAAAGGGCTTGCAGCTTTGCCAAAGTCAATGGGTAATGTAACAAACTGGTATTCATTAGCATGTAGATGAACTATGGTCAGTGTATAAAAAAATGGCCTTTGGGAGCACCCCTTCTCTATTAAGATTCTAATGCTAGTTAAGACAAGGGGGTTACAACAGAGAAAAATACTCACCTTCTTGCTTGCTTCCTGGGCCACTGCCCTTACCTCCCTGAATGTTGGCAGCATTGGCTTTGCATTGTATGTGATGACTTAAAAAAAAAAGAGGGTGACCACACAATGAAGAGTAGCAGCTCGATGAGACCAGTACTACGGTAAGGAGGAGGCCTGTGAGAATGGAAAATAAGTAAGCACTTTTCCGTGCTATAGACCCCTAGACTTAACAAGCTTATAAGAACCTTAAAGTTGATCTCTAATAGATAAGAAGAATTGGCCAAATAATCAGGGGATAGCTTTAATGTTAAAAGAGTAGTTTGGGAATAAAAAAAAAACAAACATACAGTACATACTTCCATGCTGTAGCATCAGTGTGATGCTGCTGCTCTCCTCCACTGTCTCCCAGCCTAAGAAATGAATGACCAAGTGACCAGTGATAGCCCAGTTCTTGGTTTTCAGTGAGCAGAGAGCAATGACTGTCAGTCACTGGCTCTCCAGCTCCATCTCCCCAGTGCTCACTGGAGCGCCAAGTTGGGAAGGGGATGGGAGCAGCTGGCTCAGGTTCTCAGTAGTGTGTTGAGAGGCTGAGCCAGTTGCTGGGTAGCCATCTGGGTGGATCTTGACGCTGGCTATCCCCGCTTCAGTCAATCCTGAATACGGCTGCCAGACTCATTCACCTTTCCAACCGCTCCGTTTCTGCCACCCCCCTCTGCCAATCCCTCCACTGGCTTCCGATTGCGCAATGGATCAAATTCAAAATCCTAACACTGACATACAAAGCTGTCCACCATATTGCCCCGAACTACATCACCGACCTAATATTCAAGTACCGCCCAGCACGCACACTCCGCTCCTCACAAGACCTCCTTCTCTCTAGTTCCCTGGTCTCTTCCTCCCATGCCCGCCTCCAGGACTTCTCCATGGTGTCATCCATCCTCTGGAACTCCCTGCCCCAACCCATCAGATTATCACCTACTCTCCTCTCCTTTAGGCGCACCCTGAAAACCCACCTCTTCAGGGAAGCCTACCCCACCCCCTGCTAACTTGCCGACCTTCTCCACTCTTCCTACCACCCCATCCCCCACAGCTATCTCCTCCTGTACCACTATCCCCTCCCTTCTAGATTGTAAGCTCGAAAGAGCAGGGCCCTCGATCCCCTCATGTTTTGCATTGTATTGGTATTGTTCTGTCCCATGTTCTGTCCCCCTTTGTAATGTTCAGCGCTGAGCGAACTATTGGCGCTTTATAAATACTGTATAATAATAATAAATAATAAATAATAATTTTTGTTGGGATCCTTCCAGAGCCTGGGGAGTCTCTGTGACTTTAGCCTGCTGTCAGCTGACTCTGAGTTGCAGGTGAGCACTAATAAGTGCACTATTGTGACCTGGAGGAGAAGTATGTCCAAAAAAAGCTTTTGCTGTTCTTCTCTTCTAATTTTACTAAACAGGGGCATATTAGAATTGACAATGTAAACAGTGACAACCAGGGGCGGACTGACCATTTGGAAACTCAGGCATTGGGTCAGAAGGGGGCCCCATGAGATGCCCCTGGTACCTTTTTCATAGGCTTTTTTGAGTTTGGGACACAGGGGCCCCCCATGATCCCCTATTGCCCGGGAGCCCCATGAGTTGTCAGTCCGCCCCTGGTGACAACATGGTGTGCACGCAGTATAGAAGAGTGTTAAACCAATTATGAAGCTGTACAGACAGAATCTTGAAAGAGCAATGTTTCTGTGACTCAAAAAGGACACCACGGGGAGCTACAAATACTAGAGAACGACCACTATATCAGTAAACAGATGCTTGCACTTATTGTCTGTGACAGATTCTCTCACAGTAATGTCCAGGGTAGGACTGGGTACACAGCTGGAGTTGGCACCACAGGTGAGCAGCTGGAGGAGTCTCAGGGGTGATACCAACGGCAGGCAACTGGAGACACAGGGCCAACCCACTTGAAGAGCAAAACTCTGGTAGCAATTGTCACAGTGCTGTCTGCATTTGGTGGGTCTTCTGTGGTAGCTGCCTGAAATTGGTCTCCAACCCAGCTACCCAAACTTCAGGACTGATGGTGGAGAGAAACAAAGATCCAATGGCAGATCAAACGCCCAACCACCTTTATCTGCGAGCTCTCTAAGCACTTGGGAGTGAGAAAGTGTAAAATGTATATCCCCTTGTTGTTTCAATTCATTTCAAAATGTGCTACAGCACTGAATTATGAGTTAATCTCTACCTACTGTTTTCTCTTAGTCCCCCTGAAAAGTCCAATAAAAACCTGTAGATCCAGCAAGTGAAGTCCAGCTAATGCAGCTTCCTGTGATGGTGTGGTAACAATGCTGCACTGCTCCTGAATTCAAGGAGTTGGCATTGGCATGCTGTGCCTGTTTGCACTACAATGGGAGGATAAACTGTTGCAGGGGGTGTGGCTGTTAGCATTATCACTGCTGATTCACAAGCTTGTAGATTGCCAGTGGGCACCAGGCCACACCTAGTCCTGCCCACTGCTTTCCGGATTGGCAGCATTGACTCGTTGCTGAAACCCTCCCACTGTGAGCTGCAGTGCCTGGGAGGGGAAACACATGAGACACAAATAAAAGCGGAATTGGCTCAGTTTGGGAAGGTAATTTTTGATTACCTAATGAAACTTGTGCATCACATAGTAATTGGATCTGGTACTTGTTTACACTGTCATTTAGCTGTACTTTAATGGAGAAGGGGGCTACCAATTTTTTACAAGTTGTTCAGCTTTAATTACCATAATTTACTGTAACAGTCTTGCTTTTGTACATGAACTTTGGTAAACCGCAAGAGTCATAAAGTGTATTTTTTATTTAATTACAGAGTGTCCCCTGTGTCTTATTGCAGAACTGAACAGGTCATTACATAAAGATCAACAATAGCAACAAGCAACATTTGAAAAGGTAGGTGGGACCAGAAGGACGCGGTAGATTGAAGAAGCGTGGGAAGGAGGAAGGAAAGGTCAGTAAACACCAACGAGAAAATAACACATAGCAAAAGATCATGGGTAGAACATGTAAAAAAGTACAGCTATGCACGTACAAGATTTCTCTTCCATTAAAACATTTACTGCTGTAAAAATTCTCACATTTGCGCGCCTTGGAACCGCTCTGCAGCGACAGGGTTAACCCTCCCATTACATTAGCAGACAATACATTGCTTTAAGGGTTATTACATTTCCAGTTAGCAGATAAGATTTTTGCATCGTTAATTTTGATGCTTGCTCTGCGTCCCTGGGAGTTGGCCCCCCTCCTTCCCTCTTTGCTCCTCGCCGCTGTTTGTGGATAATTTATATCCCGATCGGAAATAAAACCTACTAAACATTTACTGCTTATCTCCCCTGTATCCAGAGATAGCGAGCTGACACAGATAACATGTATGTTCGCACATGTCGCAGGGGAAATGACTGTTTCTACCACCCCGACTGGAAAGACAATAGCTGTTGGCGCCTTTCCTCCCTTCGCACGGGTTAACAGTGGCCTGAAGCGCTCAGCAGCTAAAAATACATATTTTATCTCTGATTAAAATCATCTTCGGCTGCCATTATTTATTGTAATCATAAAACAATCCTCTCAAATCCAATTTCACTGATATTGATTTTCAATTCATTACTGTCACTGGAATTCCTATAGTGTCCCACGTAACTGCTCCCTGAACTCCCACTATTGCTCCATTAAACTTGTGTCTATA